TAGCGCTCATTGAGAGTGAATAAGGATGAAAAAACCCGACGGGATTTTTCTGCAAGGGGGCATTTATACCTTCGACTGAGATATTCTCAGGGTTCATCACAGTCCGACTATACTAAGTATGCAAAAACTGAAATACAATCTGATAATCACAAACCAGCCAGCTTTGCCCTGTAATATAATTATCCTCTTTGAGCCAAAAAAAAAAAAAAATGAAAATAAAAAAAATAAAGAGGGGAGCACATCTTATCACTCTACCTTCTTTATTATAAAAAGATAAATACATAAACAATTGCTTATCATAGAGAGAGAGAGCCCTGTTCTCGCATCTTGTCCTTTTCCTTCGTGTTGTTCCAGTAGCCGATCTGATATCTGGTTCCCCACCACCTGACACTGGATCCTAGAGATGCTTGGCTGTAAGAACAACCATGTGATGAAATACCCTCCATGGAAAAGAAGGCTGGAGGATAATATCAAGGCAACAAGGAAAGAAGTGAGTCAATTAACCGAGGCTCTAAGAGGTGCAATGAAAGAGCAAGTACCCAACAGGTACAGCTAGATGCCCATACCTGAAGCACTGGAAGGAGTCAAACAAAGGCTCCAAGCCTCGGCCAGCCGCCTAAAGAGATACACAGGAGACAATGAAGCCAGACGGGTAAACCGGCTGTTCGCTACTCAACCAGTGAAAGTGAACATTGGTTGAGTAGGAGAACCCAAACTCGGAAGAAAAAAAGGGGGGAATATATTATAATAATATAATATATTAAGGGTTCTTTGCTGTTCCTAGAACTGCAGTCTTTTGGACCGAGATGTCTGATGTATTTCCAGGGATCTGCTGTAACTCCTCCAGTTTGGGGGCCCCTACCCCGAGGGCCCCAATGACCACTGGTACCACTGATACCTTGACCTTCCAGGTTTTCTCCAGCTCTTCTCTGAGCCCCTGGTGTTTCTCTAGTTTCTCATGTTCCTTTTTCCTGATGTTGCAGTCACTTGGTATCGCTATGGCAACCACAACGGCTTTCCTCTGCGTTTTGTCCACCACCACAGCGTCCAGTTGGTTTGCCATCACCATTCGGTCCGTCTGTATCTGGACGTCCAACAGGATCTTGGCTCGATCATTCTCTACCATCTTTGGAGGCGTTTCCCACTTTGACCTTTGGGTTTCCAGCTGTACTCTGCACAGATGTTCCTGTATTCTATCCCAGCCACTTGGTCATGGCGCTCCATGTTAGCTTTCCCTGACAGCATCTTCCACCCTGCAGTTATAGGTTGGATTGTCTCAGGGGCCTCTTTGCACATTCTGCACCTGGGGTTTTGCCTGGGGTGGTAGATCTGGGCCTCTATTGCTCTGGTACTTAGGGCCTGCTCCTGTGCAGCCATGATGAGTGCCTCTGTGTTGTCCTTCGGTCCGGCTTTGTCTAGACATTGGTAGGATTTCCTGATATCTGCCACTTTGGTTATGCTCCGGTGGTTCATCCCATGTAGGGGCGGATCCTCCCATGACGGAGTCTCTGGCACCTCATCTTCTGTTCCCCATTGTCTGAGACATTCAGTGAGGATGTCGTCTGTTGGAGCCTTGTCCTTCATTTACTTATGGATCTTGGATAGTTCATCCTGGATAGTGGTTCTAACGCTCATTAGTCCTCAGCATCCCGCCTTACGACTGGCCTACAGTCTCAGGGTGCTGGATTTGGGGTGGTACCCTCCATGGATGGTTAGGAGCTTTCATGTCTTAACATCTATATGTCTTAAGACATATAGATGTTAATATATCTATCTATCTATACAGACACATTCATATAAATATGTATATACATATTAATATCTTATATAATATTTAGTCTAAGTTGTGTACATTTTATTTGCTGTGGGGCATTAAGGGACCTTAGTAACGAATGGACGGGAACTGGCCAATAAAAGCTGGTTTAGATAACAAACTTAAAACCAACAGGACCTCTTATGGCGCTATTTTTAGTCCAGTCTGATTGTGCGATTTGACTGAAATGTCTGAGTGCCTTAAGATGACGTACTGTGAATTTGAAACAGAATTAGAAATGCGCTGATAAAGTCCTTATAAAGACATAATCATAGCTTCTCTCTTTGGGTTAATTGTTAAATGAAATTTCTGAAAATAACCTTCATCTTTGAACCGTCTTTGGCAGATATGAGCAATGAAGTCTCCTTTAACATCTCTCTAGTCTCATGAGCTCTTTTAACAGCGAGAACCTTGATGAGGAACCTGCCATCTGACGGGATAGCCAGCATCTGTCTCTCTTCCAGTGAAATACAGACCCCCCCCCCCCTTCATGCGCCACACAGCAGCTCCAGACATCTGCCGGGGTTCCACTAGGTCTTCACACTGTGGCACTCCGGCTATTACAAGGACCAAGGATACTTGAGTGGTAATGACACATCCCTGCTGATCAGACCCAGCATAAAAACAGGAAGTGGGGACAGGACTGGGGTCAAAGAGGACGAGTGTTCTGGGAGGCTAATTTAAATACAGCAGAACGGAGAGAAATATACGCCGCCCTCTGCCTGAGGCCAAGGTAAGGTACGAGAGCCTGTGAGAGAACACTTTAAAAACTGACTTAAATATGCTACATTTAAACATTTTGACTTATTTCTATATTACAGTATTTATTATTAGTTATGTTTATATATAACACTTTTAACTTAAATAAAGTTTAATCTTAGGCAGTCATGAGTAACAACTAACTCAACATTTGTGCCTAATTGGATCGAAGCTTTAGGAGCTAAAGAATGTGATGATTGTGGAGGAAACCTGCGGCAGGTGTGAGCTATAATTTCACAATCACAAATGAGTGGAGTTCTTTTTTTAGTTAGATCTCTGCCTGGGAATATTTTCTTGGCACACTTTGGTTCTTCTCTGAAAACTAAACACCACTACTTACCGGATTATAGTTGCTAATAGTGTAAATTCGTCCACTTCCACAGTGAACTCATCTTCTTATGCTTAGTCTCTTGCAGGAAAACAATGTTATCACATGGTCAGCCCAGCCTTATCAAAATTAGATTTTAACATCCTCTTTTTCTCTCAATAATACGCACAGTCTGATAATCAGATCACTCACAAACCGACTACAAACTCATGGCAGTCCTGGCAGGTCCATTTACAGCTTTAATTTGAATGCCTAATCTAATTATGCCAGTTTTTCCTGAAAAATATTTTTTAAATAGCCTTCTTAATTGACCCTTTGCCCCCTAAATATTAACCCTGAGCACTAACCCTCTGTTTGCGCATTCCTGGCGAGGGTTCGCCATATTAAGTTCCATTCCAAACCCCGTAGTGGGTAAGGCCAGTGGAATGCGCAGCCCTTAAACAACGAGTCTGCATTAAGTTCAGACTTGCTGGAATTTGGCATCATGGTGTAACAGTGGCCTGGTACAGGAACCGCGTGCATTTAAATGTAAGTTCTGTCATTTTGCTGCATCTTTATCACACTGATGAAAAAGTTAGGTATTGGAAAAAACCTTATTAATTTCAAAATGTAAGGATATTTTTTAAATAGTGTTATTTGACCATAAACATTTGCTTTTAGAAAGGGCTCAATGTTTGATTTTATGTCACCCTGTGCCACAGAGCTACAGCCGCGCACACGGGGCGTCACTGTGACCCCTGATCTACAGTATTGGCCTGTAATCCTGCACACAGGAGGCTCTGGGTTTGAATCCCCACAGTGGGGATGAGCTGCCAGTGTGGGTCCTGAGGCAAGACCCTTCATTCTAATGCTACTTTTTAAGTCGCTTTGGACAAAAACGTCTGCTAAATGCCTAAATGTATCTATATTCATGATGGATTTTGTTGATACTCAGAAGCGACGGACATCCAGCTCAGCTTAAGAATTAAATGATACTGCAAAACGACCACAAATAAAGTTCCTTTGATGATTAGAAATATTAAATTTAATTGTAAAGACATAATGAATCAAATAAGCAATAAAATGTTAAGCTTATCTGAGACAAGTTTGTCTTGTCAAGTTTAGTGGATGGTAGTTGTGGACCCAAATGCAGAGCTAAGGAGGCAGAGACGATTTCTTCCAAAATTTAATAAAGTTAAATAATGGTCCAGAAGCGATCAACAAGAAACTCAGGAACCAAAAAAATAGGAGACACAAGGGAGGAATTAACCGGCAATGAGTAACTCTACAGGTGGTGTATATATGGGAGACAATGGGAGGACTGATTAGCTAATAGGGAGCAGGTGCCGACAGAGCTGCTAGAAGGAGCAAAGGGGAAAGGAACGGACACTAGGGGGCAGCGAGAATGAGAGGAAACAGCAGGATATAAAGGTAACTAGAAAGAACTTAAATAAGGCTGAAGGGAAATAAATTAAAGACTAGAAAATAAGGAAGGGACTACAACATAAGAGGAGGGACCGAAAACAACCTAAGGATAAAAAACTAACTGAAACTAGACCAGGGGAACAAACAACACCAGTTATGAAGGAAAAAGATATAAACAGGAAGAGCAAAACTAGGAATACAAAAAAAATATGTAAATCTAGAGAAGAATATTAAACAACACATAGCAAGTAAAACAAAAAAAGGTCCAGAAAGTGAGGTCATAACACGTCTCAGACCAGTTTAGAAGAGTCTCATATGTTTATCAATCAGGCCCTGAAACCAGTTACTTTATTTATTGTTTCATTTATATAGCGTTATTTTCATGGTTAAAGACATTTTGCTTTTGCTTTGCTTTTCACTTATTACTCAAATACACAATCCACTTATGGACAAGATGCGCTCAGGAAGCTGTCTGCTGCAGCAACATGGCAACATTTACTTCCCTCATTGTTTTGACAATAAATTATATTTTCCATGAAAAAATACAAGAAAAAGAAAGAAAAAACAAAATAACCCAGATGGCCATTAATTGGCCAAAAATAAAGAAAAATCATCAGAATAGAATTCAGATGATTTGATTTTATTCAGAATAATATTCTACTGATACATTTAGAAAGAAAAGAACTAGTCCCTTACCAAAGGAAGGGTTTCCTCCAGAGTTTAAGGTAACTCTGAAGGCCTCATGCCTAAAGCTTCGGCCAGGCGGAGCATCACAGGGATCGATGTAGAGAAGAACACCTCGGAAACCAAAGTCAGAAAGGAGCGACAGCTGCGAGAGAAATAACATTAAGGAGGCAAGTTATTATAATAGATTAAACAATCTTTCTTTTGTCTAAAAGAACAAAACTAAAATTTAACTATTTTCTTTATGACAGGGCAGGCTTTGGAGGGAACTTTAAGGTCTAAAAATATTCTACACATTGGAAAAGAAAAGCTTAAGATATGAACTGAAATAGAAAAAGGAAATCATGCATAAATATTGATGCAGCCCACTAAAGATAAATTAAGAAAAGTTTCACATTGAAAGATTGAAGCAAAAAGGACTTGGATGTAAAGATTGAAGGGACCATAAAATAAGCCCTAGAAAAAAACTAAACAGCAACAAGCAAACAGTTTAAAACCCAAATAAAATCTAAAGTAAAAGTCCAACACTTTTCAACTGTGTAAAGAAAACCATGATGGCCACATTTTCCCTACTATAGATTGTATTGATGTCTTTTTCTTCCTGTTAAATAAAATTATCAAGTAAAAATATTAAAGTCTAATTGGTTTCAAAATCTATTCTAACTATAAAGTTCTGCTGCTATAGGCTTAGACTGCTGGAGGACATGGGGACCCATTTCTCATCATTCTGCTTCATTCCATCTCTATTCTCCCACTCTGCAGAATCTGTTAGTTCAATCCTTTACACCATGTTTTTTCTCCCACAATGTTAACATTAGGTCACTGCTGCACTCTAAGAAAATGGAAATGTCACGAGAGCCGAATAAAACGAAATTTCGAAATTTTGCGTTTTTACAGCAAGCCTTAAAAGTTAAAAAACAGAAGACATTTGAACTGATTTTCTGATGATCAAAGTAATCTTTAAATGTTCATTTATGATGGAGTTCATTTACCCTAAAGCTGTGATTTACATGAGGAATTTAAGCCAGTAAAAATGTTTTAGTTGTAAAACAACAGAGCTGTATTTTACAGCTGTCAGCAGGACATGATCTGTCCTTGTTTGTTTGTTGTTGTTTTTTTCGTTTATGGAGTTGATAACAGTTTTATGGAATATGTTAGACCAGCCACGGTCATTCTGCACACTTTACATCTCTGTCCTTCACTAAAATAACACAACGAGCATGCAGGGAACAGAGGCAATATCAGCGGCTTAGAAGAAAACTGATGCCTGTATTTTATACATTTGCAAGTCAAACCATGTTAAGCATAGATCTGTCTGAAAATATTTATCATTTGAAAATATAGTTTTATAGCAGATTTGTCTGCAGTCATATTTAAGTTGAATTGATCATTTAAATTCAATCATTTCTTTCTAGTCGTAACTAAATCTGTGCCGAGCTTTGCTGATTTTACAGTTTTATTGAGAGTTAAAAACGCTGCCTAGTCTGATTAGGCTTCATTTCAGTTGTGATATTCAGACAGTAAGGGAAGGATAAACTGAAAAAAACATGAAATCATGGATCTGTCCTGCCTCGTATCAACAGTTTCAGCTCCTGCTAAGTTTGGAGGTTGTTAAGGATCTAAACCAGGAGTCTTCAAAGTTTTCCAGGCCAAGGACCCCCAAACTGATGGCGAGATGGAGCGGGGACCCCCTGATTATATATATTGGATGAAATCTCCTGGTCAAAGAACATGGAAGAAGTAAGCGAAGGAAGTCCATCTGGAGAACTTCATCCAAGATGGCGTGGAGGCATCAGCTACCCCAAAGTAGAGGCTGTAAAGGTGTTGGCCACACCCCCATAGAATGACGGAGGTCATCCAGGACCGGTAGAAGGTGAAGAAAGTTAGATGATGAGTAAAATCAGCTGCTTTACATTTCTTCATCACAACTAAAAGCTCACATGGAGAAAAATTTATAAGCTTATGATACATAAAGAATAATCATTTTGTTTCCACTTGATGGTCAAACTGGAATAAACTAAAGTAAAAAAAAGAAAGAAACAACACACCAAAGACAATTAACTAAACACAAACAATTTACTCATTCTACAAAAAATAGCCACAAAGATTAATGAACTAAATAGGAAAATAATAACATGAATGAAACATACATCAAAGCTCTTTTGATTTTTTTGTTTTTTTCTGTCCTGTCCAGTAAATTGTCCTCAGAATAGGTATTTGAGCAACAAGGAGAAGCTGAACAGATAAACTTTCCCAA